AGACCCTTTGCATCCATTGCGGCCAGTCCTTTATTACCCCTCGCTCCCAACTCCATCGCAGAAAGCTGCAATCGGCACGTTACTTCGCAAAGGAATGTGCTGCAGTATCGTTGGGCCGGCACCATCGGGATCTCTCAGACAGCGACATCCTCCAGGAGATGCGGAGAGATGCAGGTACCCGTGGGGCCATTTCGCCTGAGGCCGAGACGCTTGCTAAAGCAAAGCAGATGGCCAAGCGTGCACGTAATTTGGGCTTCGAGGGCATAATGGACAGGTTCCGCGGTGACGCACAGTTCGCACTCCAAATGATTGACCAAGGTCATGGAGTTGACGACATGCGTGTGTTCCAACTTCTAATTAACGCCGCTCTGCCAAACGAAGGAAGAACTGAGGCACAACGTCGCCTAGGGGTAGGATCCCATGGCACTGGTGCCCGATTCCAGGCAGACAATCCGTTTACTACAGCTCGGCTGATTTTCGTGAATTGCACGCCTCAAGAGTTGATTGCTGCGGGTCTAGCGACCACGCCGGACGATCCTGCCTTCGTAGTGTCTTGGATCGGGGCCATCATGAGCTTGGAGGACTTCATCCAGATCCTTGCGAAGTCCGACACGATTCATCGCTTGGTCACCTTCACTGGCACGGAGCCGACCAAAGGCAGCTCTCGATGGTCCATCGACGAGAATCGGGCTTGGATTCTCGACCTGATCCGCAAGAACCAGGGACCAGCGGAGAGAGCCTACCTGGCGAAGGACGAGGATGCCCAGCGGTCACGTGAGGCACAGGCAAAGATTGCGTCAGCCAAGCCGAAGGGAAGGGGAAAGGGCGAGCAGAACCGTGGCGAGCAGTACCGTGCCCCACGCAGTACCGTGCCCCACGCTATGAATGGACGGATAGCTACCGCCAGGGGGGACGATGGAATCGTCAGTGGTGAAACCACTCCCCCCGCCCCTTTCAAGCTGTAGTGCCATATTTTCATCAATGAAGCCGAGTTGCAGGCAAATCCGACTGATATCGCCCCGCTAACGCGGAGGCCAATATTCATTGTTGCTTTGCACAAGTAGAAAGATGAATCTTCCTTTCGCCTAATTTCCAACTGGTCACATCGTGACAACTCCGAAGCTACCGGCGCCGCACCTCAATTTAACGGCTGACGGTACCAATTCGATCCTCACCTCCGGGTTTGACGCGATCGTTGGAGTTTATAAGTGCAAGCATTTTCGGACTTTTGTTTGCCCTCGGAGCAAAATCGAATTCACATGTGTCTGACGTGCTGCAGTTGAGCATGTCTTAGTGAACACAAACACTTTTCTACTCCCGCGAGGTGATCGCTTGCCCGTCGCAAGACGAGGCCGATGTGCGCTCAGTGATGTTTCAGGGTTGCAGTGCAGTCCGCCTTCCCATTGCCAATACTCGGCGAGGGGGGTGTAATTTTGCATTGCGATAACCCTTGCATTTTAACATCATGTGCATATCGTCCCGTTGCATTACCTCGCAAGCCCTCTGCAGTAGAAAATAGAGCGTTCGCTCCTGCATGGCTTAACGGTATTCCCAACTCAGTGCTTGTGATTACACCTTGGAGTTTCCCTGATAACTATACACCCCAAGCCCCGAAAGCCCGGAAGCTAAACCCCCCTAAAATCCCATATCAGATCCTGGGGGCCTAGGTCCAGCGTCATCTTGCAACATCCAAAAAAATGAAGTTTGTTACCCCCTTCCCCCCCTCCCGATTACGAATCAAGGTATGTTCCTCGACCTTTGGGTCCTTTGCACGTGGGAAGCGCTTTTCAACGAGAGGCCGTCCTTGACAACACCTTGCGATGCTGCGGACGCCGCAAGGCTGGGCCCATGCCTGGGCAGCCCATCTTTTCACAGAAGCCCTGAACGCTAAACCAACCCTGAATCCTAAACCCTAAACCCTAAACCCTAAACCCCAAACCCTAAACCCCAAACCCTAAACCCCAAACCCCTACAGGGTTTAGGGTTTGTCGGGTTCAGACCCATGAGCCCTGAGCTGCCTTGCCGTGGGTTCTTGGAGTCAAGGGCTCTCGGTCGAGGTTGCGGGGCCTTCCCAGAAAAAATCAATCCTATGTAGGGTTTAAGGGTTTAGGGTTAGGGTTTAGGGTTGGGATGTTCCCCCATTTTACTAAGAGCCCTAAATAGGCACTATAATGGGGGGCGGGGATACTTTCATCCCTATAAGGACTGTTAGTATAATGTAGTCGGGGGGGGACTAGAATCCCTATTGAGGACTGTTAGTGTTAGTTTGAGGGGGAACATCCCAAAACACGCACGTAAAATAGGGCTGTAGGGGAGATACAGGCAGTTCTTGTTCGGGGGGATATCATGAAGGCATCCCTTACTATTATCATTATTGCAATTACTACTATCTCCATACTATTTTTGATTTTTGTTTCTGTTCTGTGTGTGTATATTTTATTTTCGTGGAGGGTTGGGGGCCGGTTCAGGTTTCTGGTCGCTTTTGCCGGCTCAGTACGATGTGTCGTAACCTCAACGTCGACCCAAACCCCAAGTTTCTGAGCCCTACCTTAAGTGTCTTACAGTTCAGGGAAAAAGGCCCTCCTAGGTTTACGTCGTGCTTCTTCTGAATCCAAGGCGGCTGCCCCATGCCTGGCCAAATGGTGCCGCCATGCATGGCCAAAATGGTGTCGATGCAAGGCGGGCCGATGACAGATTCGGCTTGCTGTCTTGCAGGGTTTCCCTGGTTGTCCGAGTGCCTAGGCCCTGTATACTATGCACCTTGGGATGTTGGCCCTTGTACTAACTAGTTCTTGCTAAGGATTAGAATAGGGTACTAGAATCCCGACTGAGGATTGTTAGTATAAGGGGAACCTCCCAATATACACCCTGCAATCCTGACCCGGATCCGAGAAGTCCCCGAGCCCTCAGGCCGCACCCGCCCTCGCAGCGGAACGGCGTGGAACCCATGCCCGGACCCCATGCGCCCCCATGACGCAGCGTTGGGTGGCGCTTTCGGGTTTAAACCTGCTGGTCCGGCACTTGTCAACCGCCGCTCGCTGCCAAGGTCAAGCGAGCTGCACCTGCGGTCGCCTGACATGCCCATGCTCAGGCCAGCGCTGCCAGCGAAGACAGATTCTTTTCTTTGCTGCCGCTGCGGTGGCTGTTGTCCTGGTAGTTGCTGCTGAGTGGTGAGTGGTCGCAATCGGCTTTCGCTGCTCGTGAGTGCAGGGAGGCAGCAGCATCCGCAGGGCCTGCGCTGTGTTCCCCCGCAGGCCAGAAAGTGACTGGAAAGCCGGCGTCGCGCAAAGGCTTGGGCCGAACAACTTCTTTGGCCCCCCTAGACCCCTAAACCCAGTCTTGTTTGAAGGGCGTTGGGCTCCGAAAGGCAGTGCAGGTCCGTGACAAGGGCCATGATCTGACCCTGGGCTTCTTGAGTTCTTTTTATGTTCCCTTCCCAAAAAATGGTAGCCCCCCCAAAAGGGTTGAGGGTTTAGGGTGACTGGGCTGCCAAGATGTCGCTCTCGAATCCCCCACCCCCCCAGTGCTAATTGACATCCCTGTCAGGCTTCCCCCAAAACAGGGTATCTCCCCTAAATAGGGGGTACCCCTTTTATACCCCAAATAGTCCCTTTAAAAGGTATATACCCCTATTTTCGGAAACCCCCCAGAAGAGTAGGCCGCCGAGCTTCACCAATGGCGTCCACAGTGGGCTGGGGCGGGGCCCCGAGCGGATCTTCAGGGGACCTGACCGAAAAACCCCGAAACGCCCCTAGGGTGTCGGGTTTGTAGGGTTCAGGGTTAGGATGTTCCCCCTTTGTACTAAAAGTCCTTAGGAGGGATTATAAGAGAAGGGTACTATAATCCCTAAAAGCCCTAACTGTAGGAGTATCTTAGTGGAGTCACTTCAGGGGTGGGAAGCCTGCGAGGGAGCTCATGCTAAGGGGGATTCCTTGGGGGATTCGCCTTCCCTCATGCCTTGGCCTCGCGAGTGTTTTGTTTTGTGGCTTTTGTTTGAGGGTGTTTTGAGGTGTTTCAACGTGTTTTCTTTTGAGGGTCCATTTTTGTTGGTTTGAAGGGTTTTTGGCCCTCGGGAGCTTGGGATCTTGAGGGCCGAGGGCGAGGGCCGAGGGCGAGGGCCGAGGGCTTTACAGGCGCCAGAGCTGCGCGGGCTGCATGCTGAAAGTTCTCTACGTTATTATGGTCGTTTTCGTATGACGCGTACTGCTATCTCCGAAGCCCTCATCCAGTTGCCCCACCTTCGCAAGTTCGCAGGCGCTCGGAGCCAAGCGCCCCGCGCCCGAGCTTCCGTGGGCGTGGGGGCCTGGCTACGCCTTGGAGCGCGCAGACAGGGCTTGAGGTACCAGTGAGGAGAGGCAGTGACAAGTCCGGTGGGTGGCGCCAGTTGTTTTACAGGTCCTCACACCTCCCAAGCCAACCCCCTCAACCACCCCCCCAAAGCACCCCCAACCACGAAAACACTCCCCCCCTTACAAAACCGTGGTAAGCCCTCATCGGCCCTTCGTCAAAGCCCGCTCTGCATACAAAGTCCTTGTGGACTCCGTTTGACCGTTTGACTCAGGTCCTCCCCCCCGCGCCAGAGCCGCGAAGCTGCTGCAGGGCGGGGTTGCTGAAGATTGCAGGAATAGGAAGAACAACAGTGCCACTAACAACATGGATAGGGGGGTACCAGTAGGAGTGGTAGTTGTCATCTTGTTCACAGGAACAATGAGAAGACAGTCAGGGTAAACATGACAGAAAAGTCGCCCTAGTCTGCAGCCTGTGCCAAACAGGGCCATGGGGTACCTGGATTCCATGTCGTGCCGGTCCCAGTGCAACAGCTTCATTTTCAAAGAAGTGTGGTGGCAGTCAGGTGGGTTGATTTAACTGAAGGGCCCACAAGACACCCACAAAAGGACCTACAAATAGGACCCATATTTCTTTTTGTCACCCCCAGGTCCCGAAGGCTGCAGCCGCTCGAGCTCAGCTCGGTTGGGGAAGGTCTGATCCACCGTAAAGCCATGCCTTCCAAAGTGGCCTCGCCGCACTGGTTCTCCGAAACCTTCGGCTTTGCGGAGGATCCCTATGACAAAACCCGGGAGAAGTTCGTGTTTGCAGACGATGTCCTGGAAAGCAAGGTCAACGGTCGGCGCTTCTTTGTCGGGCCCTGGTCCCTTCCTTCCGTCGCCGAGCTGCGTAGCCAGTGTGCAGGAGCGCCTCGAAGCTTGGGCGGTCTGACCTTCAGCAACGTCTGCGGAAACGCGCAGACGATGCACCGGGACGCTGGCAACGAAGGGTCCGTGTTTCAGGTTGCTTCGCAGTTCAACTGCCTGGAAATGAATGAGCCCGGGGCGCGACCCGAGGATGGTGTGACAAGGTACTACAGCGATGCCACTCAGGGCCCCGCCTGCGCCATTAGCTGCCCTGCGGGGACGGTCTTCCGAAACTACTTTGTGACCAGGGACGGACCATGACCACCTATTTTCCAAAATACTCTGACATGCGACAGTTCTTTCGATGTATTGTTTTAATGCATACAGGAGACCATGTATAAAAAGTTGCCAAAAGAAAAGCTAAGGTGAATGGAAGAGGACAGGGCCGTGGCCACCAATTGGATGGCTTAGCTGACATTGCGGAGCTCGTAGGGAATTCCAAGGAGAAGTATTGGCGAATGGTGAACGGCTACTGCCTACCCGTGGATGCAAAAAGCATTGGGCGGCTAGGCAGTCGCCTCAAAGAGGACGAGCCGCTTGCAGAGGAGCTTCGAGGCCGTTTGCGAATCGGTGTGCACTGGGCGACTGAGGTGGCCAACAAGGATCACCGCGTCTGCCAGGTGTTCTGCTCGGCGCTGCCTGTGGCCTATGCAAAGAGCACACGCTCGCAGGACTGGGAGGCTTTTGCCCGCCTGGTTCTGCAAGGAACCTTTGAGGCCACTCTCGCAGCCGGCGCCGTGTTGGCCGCGGAGCGGGGCTCCCGCATCAAGGTGTACCTCACAGCCGTGGGCGGGGGTGCCTTCGGCAATCGCACGGCTTGGATCGTGGAGGCCATAGAGCGGGCGCTTCGGATCCACGCCGACTCCCCCCTGGACGTCATGCTGGTGCACTTCGGCACCGTCCCGCGTGGCGCCTACGCTGACCTCGCCAAGGGGCGCAAGACCGCGCCCACCGCGGCGCCCAAGTCAGCACCGAAGCCTGATGCCACGGATGCCACGGATGCCGCGCCCGCAGCGTCCGCAGCGTCCGAGCCCGCCGAAGCCGCGGAGCCGGCGGAGCCGGCGGAGCCAGCGGAGCCAGCGGAGCCAGCGGAGGCTTCGGAGCTTCCGAAGGATGCGGCACCGGCCCTGACACGCACGGAGAGTGGGGCTGTAGCGATCTCACGCATCTTTGCCAAGCTGGACACAAACAACGATGGAGTCATTCTCGAAAGCGACATGAGCTCCGTGCTGAAGAAGCTGCTCCCAAGTCTCACAGATGCGGACATCAAGTCCATGTTTGCAGCAGCCGATTCCAACTGTGATGGCGAGGTGCACTATGCCGAATTCGCAGCTTGGATAACCAGCGAGAATGCCTCTGATGTTATGGGGCAGCTGGCCAAGCCAGATGAGCTGCCAGAGAGGTGAAACCCTTCCACAGGACCATTCTGTTGACTTGGCTGTTGCTTGAGTAGCTAGCTCGTTCAGGACAGATCTGTTCCTATCATATTGGCCCATATAATGTCGTACAGGGCAATGCATTCTAGCCAACGGTACACTTTCTGTGTTTGCATGGGAGAATTGATCTCAGGGGAAGGGAACTGTATGGACATGCCAACATCCCTAGACTGCCACATAGCAGTGTGCATGTTGGTCTGCACAACATCCGTGAGATTCTCAGCATAATGCAGGGGTCGGAAGAATTACGAATAGTAAGTAGTCTTTTCTGGCACCCTTATAATTTTTGCCATAATACCCCCTCCCCCCCCCCCCCCCCCAAAAAAAAATCAAAACAAAAAGCCAATTGAAAAGAACAAAAACCTATTGAAATTCTTAAGGCCCCCAAAATTAGGTCACGCCCAACGCCTTCCTTCTCGAGCTCCGCGCCGGCCATGGCCTGAACGCCATCCTTCGGGTTCAGGGTAACCCCAAACCAAAACCCCCAAACCCCAAACCCCCCCAACCCCAAACCCCAACCCCCAAACCCTAAACCCTAAACCCTAAACCTAAACCTAAACCCTAAAACCCTAAACCCCCTAAACCCTAAACCCAAACCCCACCCCCTACCCACACACCCTAAACCCTAAACCCTAAACTTATCAGACATCCGTTGTGAAGGCTTGTGCCTCGCTTCCACAATCGTTAGAGGAGCAAAGCCTCCAATGCTGCAATCACACTCAGAAGGTCCCCATTGATTTCTGGGTGTTTGTTTTAGGGCTTCATTTCCTTGGTAACCGTCCGTGTCGCTTAAATAACTCCACCCTAAACCCTAAACCCTAAAAAACCCTAAAGCCTAAACCCAAACCCTAAGCCCTGAACCCTAAACCCTAAACCCTAAACCCTAACCCTAACCTAAACCCTAAACCCTGAACCCTGAACCCTGAACCCTGAACCCTAAACCCTAAACCCTAAACCCTTCTAGGAGCCGCCTCGGGTGGGCGGCTTCGGAGATCGGCTGCCGGCTGCCGCAGGCATGCCCCCCAACGTCCTCGCACGTAACCCTAGTTACCCTAAGAAAGGTTTAGGGTTTAGGGTTTAGGGTTTAGGGTTTAGGGTTTAGGGTTTAGGGTTTAGGGGGTTTAGGGTCCTCATGGCTGTTCCCCCCTTCCCCCCCCCCCCCCCCCGCCCACCTTCCCCCTTGAACAGGATCCTTTGCCCAAAGGGACCCCTGCAGAATCGTGGGCAGGGTCCGATACAAGAACGACCCCCACATAGGATGTTTTCAGGCATCTCGGTGTTCTGAAGCCCAAAGCCCAGACCTTAAACCCACTTCGGGGACCCTCTGGGGTTCGAAGCCTCTTATGCCAGTGGCCAGGCATGTCCGAGATGCCAAGTCGTGCGGAGATGCATGAGGCCCCAACGGGCTTCGGTCTCAGATGGGTCTTCCCCATGTCCCTGACAATGCAAGACATCCGGTCCCCCGGTTCGTTGAAGATCTCTTGCAAATTAGAATAATCTCAGCAATAGAAACAACAATATTGATAACAATAGCATCGAGCAACCTTGCATCCAACTTCCTTTTTCAATTCACTCCCGAAGCTAAACCCTAAACCCTCCGCCTCCCACCCTGGAGAGCCAATGCCAGAAGTTTCCCCCTCTTGAGCGGTGGGAGGCGCAAGACAAGCCCAGCAAAAAAGCCCTCTGCCCTCCCTAAAGAGGTACCCACTTGGCCGCTGCTCAGGTGCTGCTGCTGTTCCGCAGGCGTCACCTGATGTCCAGGTTGAGGCCGAAACCGATGCCACTCTGGGGCCCTTATCATAAGGGAATCCTACTACTTGGCCGGGGGGGGGGGGGGGGGTCGATTTTGGGGTCCCCTATTTTCGTAAACCCCGCATTGTTGCCTCAGTAAGGGGCACTTGGCGCTTTGGGCGGCTGTCCTAAATTGCGCCATGATACTCGTATTCGGGGGGGCAGTCTAAATGGTGTGCAATCTGAGCATGTCATGGGAACCATAATGTTGGTTTGTAGTATCTCTACAAGCTATTAGCATGTAGCTGAGGGTACAGAGGGGCCGCGATGCTCAAGAGATTCAGCTGGGCTTCTGTGGAGGTTTTGAGAAAACCAGGGGTCCCTAAACTCTAAACCCTAAACCCTAAGCCCTAAACCCTAAACCCTGAACCCTAAACCCTGAACCACCTGCAAATCCTACAAATCCACGTCCGAAGTTCTGCATAGGTAAGGGGCAGTGGCCACTTGCCCTCGGCCTGGCGCACCTGGGAGGAGGCCGGGGCTTGGGGGGGGCGAAGGGTTTTAGGGTTTTAGGGTTTTAGGATTTTAGGGTTTTAGGGTTTGGGGTTTAGGGTTTGGGGTTTAGGGTTTAAGGGTTTGGGTTAGGGGTTGAGGGGTTCGAGGTTAAGGGGTTCGGGGTTAAGGGGTGTGGGGTTTAGGGTTTGGGGTTTAGGGTTTGGGGTTTAGGGGTTTAGGGTGTCAGGGTTTTAGGGTGTTAGGGTTTGAGGGTGTTGGGGTTTAGGGTTTGGGGTTTGGGGTTTTTGGCCACACGGGGTATTTTGACATCAGGGTTTCGAGGGTCTTTGAGAGGGTTGGCTTGTGGGCTTTTGGGGGGCCTTGAGCAGAAGCAGTGAGTTGAGATGTACGCCCTAATTACCCACAGCCTCGTTTGAACTCGTGGTATTTCGCGGCACAAGAATGGCCTTTAAGAGCTCCCTGTCCAAGCTCAAGAGGCGGAATTCAGGGTGACTACAGCTCGGAAATGTGTACTTGGAGGTTCATGGGTACTGATAAGTAGGGTTAGAAGTAGGGGGAACTATGGTTATAACCTTTTTTGGGGTGCGTAGATCCCTACTTGTGGAGCCTTCAGGAAGGGGCCTCAAAGTCTGATTTGATGCTTCCAGGTGACGTTCCCACCCCGCGTGCGGGCGCCGCTGGTGTCGGCGGGCTTCCCGGCCGGGGGCCCAGGGGGGGGGAGGGGGTTTCGGGTGGGGGTTTAGGGTTTAGGGTTTTAGGGTTTTAGGGTTTAGGGTTTAGGGTTTAGGGTTTTAGGGGTTTAGGGGTTTAGGGTTTAGGGTTTAGGGTTGTTTGGGTTTTGTTCGTGTTTTGCCGTGTTTCGGGCTTGGGGCTCCTGGTTTCGTGCTAGTGGCTCCGGTGCGGTCACTTTGATGCACTGGGCGACTGTTGCCCTGGAGACTGGAAGCAAGAAATGGTGTCCGGAGCATTGGGCTGACAAGGCACCGACGGCGATCCAGCAGCATTCATGGCCAATTCTCACTGCAGGCAAGAGGGTCTGGGTTCCGGAAACTTCCTGAAAAAGATACATTTCAGGGGCTGTTCCAGAGATTTGGTGCTCTCTTTTTGTTTGGGGCTCTTGTGGTGCCACGAAGAGGACCCCGTTTAAACAGGGCCCCAAGCATGGATCCCAACTTGCGAGCAGTCCACGAAGCAAGGCTATGGCGTTATTTCACGGGGCCGTTTGATACGCTAAGGCTGCAAGGCTACAAGGAATACGTGCTACAATGGAGGAATTTTGCATGAGGCTGTTAATTTGAACTAAGCCATAACCGCATCGTGGACTCATTGGTCGTGCAGAGAGGCCGCGATTTGATCGGGGTTGCGAAGACAGGCCATGGCCCGAGCATTGCCTTCGCGGAGCGACAAGGTTTGGAGTTTAGGGCTTAGGGCTTAGGGCTTTAGAGGGTTTAGGGCACCAGTGCTGTACCCCTAAATCCTAAACCCGAAACCCTAAACCCTAAACCCCAAACCCTAAACCCTAAACCCCAAACCCCAAACCCTAAACCCTAAACCCTAAACCCTAAACCCTAAACCCTAAACCCTACACAGCTTGAGGCTCTGGCAAGACGCTCGCCTTTCTCCTTCCCATCTTCGCGCGGCTACTGGAAAGCAAGGCCGACCTTCGAGGCGGCAAGGGGGACGAAGGGTAAGAAGGGCCTTTGAGTTGAGGGTTTAGGGTTTGGGGGTTTAGGGTTTAGGGTTTAGGGTTTGGGGCTCAGGGTTTATAGGGTTTAGAGTTCAGGGTGTGGAGTTCAGGGAGGCTTCTCCAGTGGGCCATTGTGTGTTGTGTTTTTTTGATTTGATGAGGTGTCTTTTGGGCTTTGGTTGCGTATCCTCTGGCTCTCTGCATTCATGCCTGAACCCTAACCCTGAACGCTAAACGCTGAACACGCAAAACTCAAATCCTCCTTGGCCTCGCAGGTTCGAGGTCTCACTCAGTTTTGGGGGGATTTTAGGGCTTGCGAAGTTTGGGCACCTCGTTCATAACCCTAAACCCTACACCCTAAACCCTAAACCCTAAACCCTAAAGCCTACACCCGAAAGCCTAAAAACCGCAACTTAGCCAGGGCCTCCGGCGGCGCTGGTGCTGGCGCCCACCCGAAGCTCTTATGCAAATTGTAGGAGCTTGTAGGGTTTAGGGTTTAGGGTTTTGGGTATGGGTTTGGGGTTTAGGGTTTAGGGTTTAGAGTTTCGGGTGCTGCCCCTCAGAGCAGTCTTCAAGAACAGTCTTCAGCTTGCTTGCGAACCGACTAGTTAGTTGGTTCTGACTGTAAGTCCAAAGCAGCAAGAACACTCAAGTAAGGGAATAGGTTGTGGGGGTTGAGGAAAGGGCTGTGACCTTGAACCAACCCTAAACCCTAACTTCGAAACCCTAACCCCTCAGCCCTAAACCCTAAACCCTAAACCTTAAACCTAAACACAATTCTTTCAGGGGTTTTGGTTAACAGGCGTTGGTTTTCAGTGCATCGAAGTCCAACCTGCGAGCCGCGGCTTCCCCCTCAACCTCGGGAAACGACAATCCCGAAGCCGCTCCAAAACCCTTATGCCCGAAACCCTTAGCCCTTTGCCCTGCTTGAAGGTTCATTTGGGTTACGTATAAGTAGGGTTTTATAAGTACCCTAAGCAAGGTCAGAACCAGAGTTACCCTACTCAGAAGACTTAGAAACCCCAGCTGCCCGAGCTATAAGTACCCATGAACCTCAAAGCAAGTCCCTAACCCGAACTGAAAGGATTGAAAGTGCGGGTACGTGAGGGTTTAAAAAGGGGGTTTGAAAAGGGGGAAGCCCTAAGCCCTGAGCCCTAAGCTCTAAGTTTCAAAAGAGGGGTTTAAGGGGTTTGCGTGTCGTGGGGGGGTCTCTTTCCAGCTCAGGCGAGCTTGCCTGTCAGATTGAAGTGGAGGCCCCAAGCTGCCAGCTGCATTAACCCTCTTTGTTTAGGGCTTAGTGTTAGGGGTTTAGGGTTTAGGGGTTTAGGGGTTTAGGGGTTTAGGGTTTAGGGTTTAGGGTATAGGGGTTAGGGTTTCGTGTGTTCACCTTCATTGCCTTTGTAATGATTAGGGCCCCGATAAGGCTGGGAGCCGCTCATCGTCCCCCAATAAAGGTTGTATCGAAGAGTTTCGGACTTTTGCCCCAATTGGGTCTCAAGGGGCCCAGCCTCTTTCTTCAGATTTCAGTTCAGGGTTCAGGGTTCAGGGTTCAGGGTTTAGGGTTTAGGGTTTAGGGTTTAGGGTTCACCAGGACAAACGGAAACCCTCATCGTGAGCACAAACTAATTTCAGGCGCTCCTGATGTATTTGTTCTGCGTTCACTTCATTAGCCTAATGTTTACTGGTGATGGCCGCTCTAGATTTCCGCTGGGATGGGCTCTTGGTAAGACCACCGTACGACTCTCCTGCACCAGCAACTTTCCTATCTCGGAATGTCCCTGCCGTCTCTTTCCTCTGAGGCTTTGGAAACAGACCGCCGAATTAGAAGGGAACCCCTCCGCCTCCCCACAGTCCCCACCCCTCTTCTCCGCAAGCACACCGTAAACCCTAAACCCTAAACCCTAAGCCCTAAACCCTAAACCCCAGCAGGCGAAACGCTTTGGAGCCACGGCGGGCATGCGGGCTGCCTGCCTCTACGGGGGCGCCCCCAAAGGGCCGCAGCTCGCAGAGCTCCGACAGAGGCAACCGGCCTCCAATTTTGCCACGAACCCTAAACCCTAAACCCTAAACCCTAAACCCTCAACCCTAAACCCTAAACCCTAAACCCACCGCCTTCGTGGAGGTTGCGGATGAAGGCTTTCGGGAGGTATCGGGAGGTTGACGCTCAGGGCTTGGGCTCCCAACAAGCTGTGGGGCTTTCAAGGGGTGTGGGGGCGTCAGACGGCTTCATGGGTACCCTACCCATATGGGCACCCATATGTAGGGCAAAAAGTGGGGTGTAACTACGGTCATAATCTTCTAACCCTACTTATAGCTACCCAGATGAACTTCCCTAAGCCCTAAACCCTAAACCATAAATAGCCCTAAACCATAAACCCCAAAACCCTAAACCCGGGGGGGACGCTGAAGGCCTCAGCTGCTGGTGGCCACGCCGGGGCGCCTCAACGACCTCCTCGAGCCTCCGCCAGGATCCCTCTCATAAAATGACGGGCCCTTGTGCAGTTCAGGGTTTAGGGTTTAGGGTCTAGGGTTTAGGGTTTTTTAGGGTTTAGGGTTTAGGGTTTAGGGTTTAGGGTTTAGGGTTTAGGGTTTAGGGTTTAGGGTTTAGGGATTCCCCTTGTAGACACTGATACATATGGGGCTTGATGAACATGATGGGCCCTCTTAGGTTTGTTTTGCGGGGTTAGACTGTTGAGGGCCCCCCCCCCCCCCCCATAGTTTTCTAGGACCCAGACTGACTATGCCCTCATTCTTATTTTTTCAGGTTTAGGTTCGCTGTTGAGCCCCTTTAGACAACAGCAGGCCACTTCTTCTTCCCAGGTTACTCTTGGGTCTAGTTTGAGATCGACTCCCCAGGTCCAGGTGATTCTTAGGAATTGCGCCCGGACCTTGGCTCCAGTCTTTCCGCAGGACTGTCCGTCGCTGTGGACGTGAAGTCTGTGCGCTATCTGGTCCTGGACGAAGCAGCGCCTGGGCAGACATCTGCTAAATCATGGACTTGGTGGCCCAGTGGTGCCCCTTTTGCCCTTTTCTTGGGGCTGGGTTCGCTTGCAAAGGAACCCCCCAGAAAGGTTACCCTTATTATGGTATGGTTGCTGGGCTTGTCAAGTGGAGAACACTTGCGACTCCAAATCGTGAGCTTCTTCCACCCGACTAGGACCGCATGCTGGACATGGGCTTCGAGCCCCAGATCCGGAAGATCATCGCCGGACTTCCACAGGACCGGGCGCTTCCGCCGGTCTTCTTTTGGGTGCTCTCCTTCAGGGACAATCTGAGAAGTCTTTGAGGAATCCAGGGGGAGAACTCCCCCCTAAACCCTAAACTCTAAACCCTAAACCCTAAACCCTAAACCCTAAACCCTAAACCCTAAACCCTAAACCCTAAACCCTACACCCTAAACCCTAAACCCTAAACCCTAAACCTAAACCCTAAACCCTAGACCCCAAAGTTGCCCGGAAGCCTTGCATCATGGGATCGCCCTGCGCCTCAGAGGGGCATGGCTGTCCCAGGACCGCCAGACCGTGATGTTCACGGCGACCTGGCCTCTGTCCATCCGCCGCCTGGCAGCGGACTTCCTGCGGGATGCTGCGGAGGTCGGAACCCTAAACCCCAAACCCCAAACCCCAAACCCCAAACCCTAAGCCCGAAGCCCGAAGCCCTAAGCCCTAAGCCCTACGCCCTAAGAACTAAACCCTAAACCCTAAACCCTAAGCCGGCGCATGCGCGCCCTCGTGCTCAGCCTACGGCCCTTAACGGGGCATCCTTGTTGCCTCCTGAAACCCCTACAGGTCCGCGCTGGCGAAGTGGACGAGCTGCGAGCGCCCCGTCGAAAGGATTTGAGCCACTTAGAGGGGTATTTTGGGGGTATTTTCGAGGAAGTCAAACTTGGAGCCCTACGGATGTACCCTGGGGCCCTTTTTGAAGATTCTCCAAGGGAATATGAGAGCCATATTCGGACTATACGAACGGAATAATTTTAGGGGGTACATCCTCGGGAACGAGAATGAATCGCTTGATGTCTGGAGTATCTCTATTGGGGCTATTTTGGGGCATGTGGGGGTTCAGGGTATGTAGGGTTTTCAGTGTATGTAGGTGCTTTTTTAAGTGAGATGAGCCTCCTGCCCTTACCAACCCTGTGCCCCAGACCCTAAACCCCAAACCCCCTTTAAGCCATGCACCTTAAACCCTAGACCCCAAACCCTGAACCCTCTTATAGATTGAAGCCTCCTGACCGTCTGATTTCAGCTTGCGCATGTGCACGTTCTGTTCTCATGACTCATAACCCTAGCCCCCAAAAACCCGGAACCCTAACCCCTGAAACCCTAACCCTCTACCCCCCCCTTCAACCCTACACCCACCCTAAACCCTAAACCTAAACCCTAAAACTTAAACCTTAACCCTGAACCCAGGTGAATCCAGACATCACCCAGCACGTGGTGTTCTGCTCGGACCCTGGGCTGCAGCCGGCCTAGGTTTGTTTTTTTTTTGGGAGGAGGGGGGGGTTTTCTGTAAGGGTATAGTTCTATGGGCCATTAAGATGGCCCCTTACCTCCTTTAAAGGGTTTAGGGGGGGTTTGGGGGGGGGGGTTTTCGGGTTTGGCTTTTGTTGGGTCTTCGGGTTTTGAGGTTCAGGTTCAGGGCTTAGGGGTTTACGACGTGGGGGCGTAGGGTTTACGGCGTGGGCTTGCGGAGTTTCGGGTAACGCTTGGGGAGCTTAAGTCGAAGCTGGATCGAGAGTCTCCAGAATGCCGATCGCTGCGCGCAGGACATGCGCGACAAGGAGGAGTGGCTTGACAAGATCCTGCGAGAGAGCGGCAGCGACCAGGCCATCGTCTTCGTGAACACGAAGAGGATGTGCTCCTCAGCGGACTTCAGGATTCTCGGGTTTCAGTTTCAGGTAGGGCTTCACTAGGGGTGATTTCCTGGCTGTGCCTTGTCTGCCAGAGAGAAAGATGGAACACCCCGAACAAAGTCCCTACGAGCCCACCAGTCCCACCAGCCATAGAGGCCTCTGCCTGGAGTGCTCTGCAAACTCCTGTTCCTTGCCCGAAAGTCTACGATAGGGGTCGGAGTAATTACTCATAGTACTCCCTTAGGGTCCGTTTAGAATAATACTATAATAACCTCCAAACCATAAGCCAAGGCGAGGTCGTCTCCTTGCGGACTCCCAATAGCATGGCCATCCACGGGGACAAGGCCGGGGTTGACAGTTTCGTTGAAGGGCACATGCAGGATCTGGGGGGCTTCAGATCTTGTTCAACAGGGATTGCCGGCTTCGGGTTCTTGTGGGATGTGCTTCTTGTCTTTGATCGGCCGTAGAAGTCTACGGTTTGCCTCCGCTCTTCCTTGGGTTATTAGCGGGGGCTTTCAGTATTTTTTGAGGCGCAGTTAACATGTCCACCGAGCAACATCCCGCACAACGACCCCCTTCTAGAGATTCCTACCAAGTTGGGAGAACCTTCATGCGAATCTCGCGTCTTTTATAACGAATGTAAGTATGCAACCCCGAATACCCATCACGGCCAAAACAATCCCATTTGCCTGAATGAACCCCCCGTAGCCGCGATAGCACCTAAACCCCCGAGTGAAGTTTCAAGGGTACTTCTAAGTAGAGTTATAAGTAAGGTCTCGCTTACTTCGGGCACGTATGACTTCAAGCCACAGGTCCTCGAAGCCCTAAACCCTAAACCCTAAACCCTAAACCCTAAACCCTAAACCCTAAACCCTAAACCCTAAACCCTAAACCCTAACCCCTCAAGCCTCAACCCTAAACCCTAAACCCTAAACCCTAAACCCTAACCCCTAAACCCTAAACCCTAAACCATGAATGAAACTTCGAGGACCAGCGCGAGCGGGACTTGGCCTTGGGCCACTTCAAGTCCGGCTCCGTGCGTGTGCTGGTGGCCACGGACGTGGCTGCCCGCGGGCTGGACATCAAGGCAAGGGTTTAGGGTTTAGGGTTTAGGGTTTAGGGTTTAGGGTTTAGGGTTTAGGGTTTAGGGTTTAGGGTTTGGGGTTTGGGGTTTAGGGTTTAGGGTTTAGGGTTTCCAAACCCTAATGCCCGAAAGAGCTCCTGCAACACATTTCGGCATTTGGGGTCTAGGGCTTTTGGCCGAGCCTTGCAGTGCGGGTTGTAGGGTCATTCCCCGTAGGGCTTGTTTGTTTGGGGGGTCATTCTCTTCGTCGGGTTAGGTTGCAGGGTATGGGGCATGTTACGGTCAGGGGGGGGGTCTGTGGAGGGGTGATGAGGGTAAATGTGGAAAACCACAGTAGTATTTTTATGTCACTCCCTTACTGCCTCTGGTCCTCAGGGCAGTAAGCGAACTAGTATCATACGCCCCGGCCTTCCTTGGCTCAAGAAACCTACGGGCTAAAGACCCCACGGTGCTAGAAACTACCTGAATTAGATCGTGTTCCATACATCCTTTGTGTGTTGACCGCAATAATTGCGTGGAGTCCCATCCTGCAAGAGGATTGACAACCAGACTGTATCCCTGCTCCGCCTAATGTCATAAACCCCAAATGAAACCCTGAACGGTTGAAATATCTTGAAGCCCCCCGAACCCTAAGCCCTAAACCTAAACCCCAAATGCCCAGGCCGTCAAGGTTGTGGTGAATTTCGACCCTCCGAATCGCGAGGAGGACCTGCCACAAGGGAAGGAAAGGGTTTAGGGGTTAAAGTCTAAAGTGTCCAAAGGGTTGAGGGTTGGGTTCAGGGATAAAACGGTTTAGGGTTGTGAAATTCTCCCTGTCGGAAGTCCGTAGCCGAGTGCGACTGGTCTTATACCTGAACAGCTCGACCGCAGTGACGCCGTTTTCGTGGAGTCACTCAATCTGGTAGTGTTGAACGGCGGGGTAAGTTCTTGTTACAGTCATCTTGTGACAATTAAGTTTTTCAGGAGATGTGTCGATATATTGTTATGATTGGAGGTTCAACGTTTGTGTCTGATGAGAAAGAATCAAGTGCTCTAAATATTCTTCAAGTTGCGGTCACGTTGCTTGGCAGGGCAATCTAAAACAATTTTACAAATACTATGTTTTGTTGTTGGGCAGCAGGTGGAACATGCTATCATCCCCACCCCCGCCCCCACCCCCCCCCCCACCCCCCCCCCCCCCCCCCACCCCCCCCCCCACCCCCCCCCCCCCCACCCCCCCCCCCACCCTCCCCCCCCCCCCACCCCTCTCACCCACACGCCACTGTTGGGTCCCTGCTTTCCGCGCCGTCGTTGTTGGGCTGGAAGTGGTTGGGCTGTCATCAAACTCCCGCCGCCTTTTCACCCCACATTGTTGTTGGGCAGCAAGTGGAACACGCTATCATCATCAAGCCCCCCACCCCCCGCCCCTCCTCTCCCCCCGCTATCTTTTTCAGCAAAATCCAGACTCATTTGTGACTACGAAAATAGTCGCAAGTAAATGACTAGGAACCCGGAAATGCGCAGGTGAGAATGTTGACCAATCTCGAGCGGGAGCCACGTGTTTTACAATTTGTCGTCGTAAGTGTGTCGATCAACAAAAACAGCCATATCATATGTGAGAGGAATTTATAGTCGCAAGTGACGGCAAAACGATAGTCACAAGTGAGCAGTTTTTGATAGTCACAAGTGAGTGGTTTGCCAATGGAAAACATATGATTAAACAAGTGATGAAACTGGTGAACTAGAAGCTAACATTAATTATCCAGTTGATAATATATCAGCTACAAAAGCTTTCTGAAACTTCTTGAACATTCATCAAATATTTTTGGAAGCTATCAAGATTTTAAAAAAGGACAATGGAATTTATGTCCTTCTATATAAGTACTCCATTTTTAAATCTGGGATTCGGCTTGATGATAAGATGGGTGTAGGCTAGAAATTCTCCCTGTCAGTGCGTCTCCAAGTCCGAAGCCGAACGTGCGTAGCCTCTTAGCAGGGCAGCAGTTTAAGTCGGCAGACATGAGCTGCTCTACCGCAGAGCCCTTGCGCTCGAAATCAGAAACAGGGCGCGTAGTGACCTCGTTTAGTCACTCAAAACGGTTTAAATTTTGGGGAGGATTGACAGGTTTGCGCTGAAGGTGTTTAGGGAACGGGTTCAAAGGTTTCGGGCTGAGATTGTTGGACCATGGGGGTACATGGCATCCCCTGCTACAGTATTTCTCAAGAGACCATAAGGCTTAGTCGTCCAGACCCGAAAACTGCCTGGGCAGAAAGGGGGGGGGGGTAAGCTGAAGCCTCAGGACTACGTCCATCGCGTGGGCCGAACGGGCCGGGCTGGGCAGAAAGGCCCCGGACATGTTGTGAAGCGAGAGAAGTTAGAGAGAGGGAGAGAGACAGAGAGAGAGAGAGAGAGATCAATTCGGGCGGTACAGTACCCCGGGGGAAGAGCTGCGGTTTCACGGTGACAGTGAACCTGGGCGCGCTTAGGCGCGAGGGGTCTCTCGGGCCCCCCCAAGAAGAAGAAGAAGAAGAAGAAGAAGAAGAAGAAGAAGAAGAAGAAGAAGAAGAAGAAGAAGAAGAAGAAGAAGAAGAAGAAGAAGAAGAAGAAGAAGAAGAAGAAGAAGAAGAAGAAGAAGAAGAAGAAGAAGAGAGAGATCGCGGCCTCCCTTCGGGGGGTCATGCGTTGGGGAGAGAGAGACAAAGAGAGAGAGATCGATCGCTTTTAGTTTTCCAGCAGGAGGAAGAGAGAAAAAGAGAGCAAGTTGTACTTCAAGGCGCGGAGAAGAACAGAGACGGCGGCAGCAAACAGCAACACCCTTGGCTTAAGATCCATCTTAAACCCAAAGCCCTCAACATAAAAGCTTAAAGGGCTCCCCGCAGAAAGGCCCCGATTTGAAACCTCAGATTTGCTTAGTAGTAGAGTAGGTAACCTTTAACCTTTTTGGGTTAATATATTCCCCTTATATTCCCAAAGGTTAACCTTTAAAACCCCTATAAGTACTGGACAACTGAGTTTGGCGCCAGGCCTCGCGTGGACCCTCCTGACCAACGAGGACGGCGCGGCCGCACGGAGCATTGCCGCTTGGTGGCCCCCCAAACTGGGAGGGAAAACCTTAGCACCCTAAACCCTAAACCCTAAGACCTAGGCGTCTCGGCTTAAGGGGTTGTTTAGTTTCCCTTTGTGGTCATTGCCCCTTGCCGTAAGACCCTGCGCGGCTCTGTGAGCCCGCACTGCTCCCCCCCAGTCCGCAAGTGCGTGGGGGGGTAGCATTCCCTAACCTAACCCGGCTGCGGTCCCCTTCCTGTGGCTGGACTTGTTCTTTCGGCGGCGATACTGTACCTGAGGGAGGTATCGTTCGAACAATCCCCTCTTTGAGGCTGGATTCATTGTTTTTACGGGTCACATTTCCATCTTCATATGCGAGTTGGACTGCATATCCTGATCTTTTGCTGTGTTTTCTTACACCACGGCAAGACAGACAGAGGCCGCGTGGCATCGGCGTGCCCGCCGATCTCGGACTCGTGGACGGACTTTGCTGCGACACTTTGTATCCGGGGGTGCGGTACCCAACCCGGCGTTAAGCAGGGCTATACATTCGCTGGCTGGACACCACTCACACAGTGGACTGGTGGAGCAAGCCAGGCGCATTCTAAGTTCCCGTTCGCTCAAGACAACAATGGCGTGGTGGTGCAGCCAGTGCAGGCAACACTGCAAGGCTACCGCCACGTATTGTTCTGGCTGCGGCCAGCATTGGGAAGAAACAGCTTCTTCCTACACCTCGCCTGCGCAGGCGGTGCCGTGGAAGGAGGACACGTGGCGAGGACATTCGCCGCGGCGGAGACAATCGCCCAGGCGCAAGAGCAAGGTTCACGAACAGCAGGAACCTCGTCCAGGCCCGGGCAACAAGAACACCACCAAGGGGGCTGGCAAAGGAAAGAACCAGACACCGACGACTACAAGCCGTTTGCAGACTTTGCCCACACCGCCCAAGCCAGCTGCTGTTGCAGCTCCGGTGGTCTCCTCACTTCCAGAGGAAAGCCCGCCGCCACCTTCGGACTTAATGGTTGCTCTCCTGAAGAGTCGGGACACCTTGCCAGCAGAGGTCAGGGCATTGTTGGATGCCCAGGCCAGCACCGAGCACCGTGTGGCTGCCAAGATGCTCCACAAATATGTGGCCCTAAAGACGGCCGCAGAACGTGGACTGGCGGATGTCCAAAGAGCTCGTGCCCACTATGCTCAAGAGTGGGGCACATACCTATCGGCGCTCGGCGATCTCCTACAACAGCAGATGGTGGAGAAACAGACGGCGATGGAAGAGTTCCGACAGACCGAGGACCGCTGGCGATTACAGCTGGCCACAGCAACCAAGTCATTGGCTCAGGCCTCAGGTGCCACGACAGGGATAGTGGACCTCGAGGCAGATGGTGCAGAGCTCCCCGAACCGGACATGGTTATCGATGTGGACGCAGAGGATGCAACAAAGCCTCTGACAGCCGAAGCACTGACAGACAAGGAGGCTGGACTGCTGGAGTCGCTCAAGAAGGCCAGCCATTCGGCCGACAGCGAGATCCAGGAGTTGAAGGCCAGAGAAAGGACCCCCCGCAGGTCCCGGGAGCCGGCGCCAAAGGCGCCCCCTCCGTAGGCTCACCTCGATGCCCGAGTGGATGTGGTGAGCCAAAATTCTCCGCGGACGTTCGCCATAGCGTCTGTGTTGAGCAAGACTACGTCAGCAAATGGCTGGCGCAGGCAATCGGGCTTTGCAGGCAACACGAGGTCAGGATGGAAGCTCTTGGCTTACGGCGCACGCCTTTCCACTTTGCAGATCCGAGATGCCAGGAAGAATCGCCGTCTGGGACACTTTTTGACCTACGGCCCATCGCCCGGCATGTGCCCAAGTTGTGGCCTCGACGTGACCCAGAAGTCTTCGGGGGAACCGCCGGCAGTGTGTGTCTTGGGCATGACACAACCGCCGTCGGTAGCCCCCTGGAAGCATCTGCGGACGAGCGTCGGTGCCACAACTTGGACTGCTGCCATGTACATAGTAGTGAGACGCGTAGGCCTTGCTTGAAGTTGCGGCAGCCTTCGCTAAGACGTAAGGTTTCTTTTGCCTTGGGGTTTGGTTCTGGGTCTCTTCCGGCCAGCAGGCCTTGGGTTTTGCAGGCCCTTCAGGTCATTACGCCTTTTCGGGGTCTTGTGGAACCCCTGTTGTCTCCATTTGTTGAGACACGTCTGCCGCCTCTGCCCTTATGTGAAAGTGAGCGGCTGCACTTCCAGAACATGTGCATTCCTGCTGAAGTGGGCAGCGACATCGAGATCGGACCCCTGTCGAGTCTCGCCGTTTGCTCTTCTGACCCTCTTGCGGTTTCACTTACCCTCAAGCCAGCAAATGCATTCCCCGAAGCTGCAAGAGCTTCGCCGACACAACTTGACTCGCTCTCGGTCGCGACCCGGCCATCCATTACACACTGCGCCGGCTCGGCTGATGCCGTTTCTCTGACTGCGCCGCAGGCCCCGCGTGCCATCTTGCAGCAGGCGATAAAGAGTGGGTGTCACGAAAAATATGCAGTCTTTGACACTGTAGACCATGTTAGGCTGAGGGTTTTTCGTGAAGGTTGGAGTCATGACGAGCTTTTAAGGGATACCGTGAGTTCTTCAAGGGATAAGCCCGTACGTGCTGCCAGGTTGTTGAGCCCCGGTTTTTCCTACCTACCACCTTTGCAGACTGTTCAAGGCGGTTCCTTGTCGACCCTTGCTGACGGTTTCCCAGATGCCGAAGCTGGTCTGTTGCCACGCATCATCCCTGCCGCCCTTGGTAGGGAGTCCATACTGGATCTGCAAGCCCACGCTGCCCTGGCAACTGTTTTCCCTGCCTGGCTCTCAACGCCATGTGAGACGGAGGGTGAGCTTGCGGTGTTTGACCCAATCCGGCAGATGACATCGTTCGCCTACACCAGGAAACAATCACTCGGTGAAGTACTCTCTACTGTGGTTGAGAGGGCTCCTTTCGCCATTGCATCTCTGAGATTCATTTCACCGCTTCCCTCCTTTCCGTCGCTGCAGATTGTCCTGACTCCTTCCGGATTGCCTGCAGACATGTATGCACTACCAATTGATGGCCGCCCGGCTTTTCCGTCCGTGTGCACGGTAAATGTTGCGGCTGGTGCCTCTCCGTGCGAGGTCCTTGCAGCAATTGACGGTAGTTGTAGGTGGTCTTGTCCGGTTCGGTTCGGCCTTCATAAAGGGGTCCTTACATTACATGACCATCAGGGGGCATTTGCAGTCAAGTTGCGGACGATCCTACACAGTTGCACTCCCTCCAGTTGCGGGCCCTGCCTCCGACCGCCTCTGACGTTCAGGCTGCTCAGTCCGGTCCCACAGGTGCAAGCTCATATAGCGATGCACGTTTGGGCCTGCCAGCGACGAGCCGGATCGCCACGCCGCAGGGCCGATGTCGAATCTCCGCTTGCTTCGCCAAAACTGATGAACCGTGCATCTTGCAGCTGGCTGATTGCATCCCGCAGCCCAAGCCGGGCCTGGCAACCGGGGTTGTTCCGGGGATGCTTGACGAGCTTCTCTCAGGTCATAAACTTGCGTCACTCCACACTGAAGTTCCGGCACTCCGCCGCCTAGATGACAGTATGAGAGCAGCTTGGAATTCACTACCACCGTGGCAGCCGTGCGAAGCCCTTGAAGCACTTTTTCTTTATACAGATGGCTCCTGGGATCCCCACTCCAAGTGCGCGGCTTGGGCAGTGGTTTGCGTTGCAAGACAGAAGGGAGAGCCCAGACGGGTCGGCTGTGCATCCGGCATCTGTTGCGACCTGGATGATCTTGACATGAACGCTTATCGTGCAGAATGTGAGGCACTGCTTCATGCCCGTAGCATCGGCCTTACCTGTAGGCCTGTGCCTGTCATCATCGCTTCTGATTGCTCCTCGGCACTTGGTTCCACGCACGGGCAGTCTGTGTCGCCTGCCTCGGACTGGATAAGTGAAACTGCAATATCCTTGATGTTTGCCGGGGCGGCGCATGGCCAACACACTCAGTCAATATGGATCCCCGCTCACGAGGCTTGCTTTCTAAATGGTCTGGCTGACGCTCTAGCGCACGCAGGCGCCACTGGCGGCACACTGCTGTCCATCAGGACACACACACACACTCCTGCAGGAGGCTCGTGAGAATCGTTGCTCGTGGCTTCGGTTGTTGGGTTCTGATAGGTCCATAGGTAGGCAACTGCCAAGTGTTGATGCGGCGGGCACATGGTCCCTTTCAGCATGTCAGACACAGATAGCGACCTTGCCCTCATGGGAACCTAAGCTTGCGCCGGCGCCGAGCCAACTTGAGGCGCCATGCCAGTTGCGCATTGTTCAGTACAACTGCTTGTCATTGCGTGGCCATGGTTCTGACTCTTTAATCGAGGCTGGAGCGAAACGACACCGAGTGCACCTGATGGCCCTACAGGAGACCCGGCAGTCAGGTGCTCAGATCCGTTCTGTTGGCAACTTCTGGGTGGTTTCGGCGCCCTGTACTTCCCAAGGTATAGGCGGTTGTCAGGTTTGGTTTAGCAAAAGTCCCTTTACCTCCAACACGCGTGGGCAGATCGGGTGGTGTAGGGGGTCACTCTCGGTTGTTCACAGTTCTCCGCAGATCCTCATTGTGTTGGCAGAAGCCGGAGGGCTTTGCTTCGCATGTGTCAGCGCGCATGCTCCGATCTCCTCAACCCGGGAACAGGTCTTGCAGCAGTGGTGGATGGAGCTAGCCTCGGCCATGGCAAAGGTTCCGCGCCACTATGCCCCTCTTTTATGCATCGACGGCAATGCTCGTTTTGCTGCTCACCCGCTGGGCCACACCGACGAGGCACCCCCAGCGTGTGCCAACGGGTATAAGCTTAAGGGTTTTATAGGGGATCAGGGCTTGACGCTCTCTAAGCAGCTGTCATGCACAGGCAAGCGCATCATCTCTTGGACCAGTCCCAACGGCAAGCCGGCCCTGCTGGACTACATCGCAGTCCCAAGAGCTTGGATGGATTGCTTTCACACACTTGACCAGGTTGCTTTGGGGGACCTTCATCAGGATATTGACCACCAGCCAGTCCTCTGTGAGTTGCGTTGGCAAGCTTCTGTGTCGCGTGACGTGGACTGCAAAGCCATCTCGGAGGACCGCCTTGCCCAACCAGAGGCGCACGCCATCATTGCTGCCGCGTTTGCCACGATTCCCCCTGTTGGCTGGGAGGTTGATCCTACCTCACATGTGCACATCATCCAGCACCACCTCACTAGCTTCTTGCAACAGCATTTGCCTACGCCACGGATGAAGCCAAGACATCCTGCGCTTAGTACTGGAACTCTGGAACTGATTCGCGCCAAGCGGAGCATCAGAAGTCGGGTCAGATGTCTCCGTCGTCGGGCGGATGTGGAGTTGCTTCACCTTTTCTTCAAGGCGTGGGCAGGAGCTGATGTGGGAACTCTCCGTCGCAGCGCACTGCGTGTGAGGCGTTCTCGTGAGGGGGCTGAAGAATGGAGGGATAGGCTTCGCGCGCATGACCGCCAACTCACGTCAGCTATAGCTGAGGACAAGGCGGAGTTCCTCCGCGCAATGCACAATCGTGCAAGGGAGGATGGCGCAGCTGACTTCGCCTTCCTCATCCGCTCGCTCCTTCGTGTAGGTCGCAAGTTCAAGACACCTACCCTGATCCCAGTCTTGAGCAGCGCGGGCAAGGACACCAAACCCACGGCCGGCCGTGCTGAGGTCTTGCAAGTTTTCGCGCAGCACTTTGGTGCGGCAGAGAGGGCGAAGCCCGTCGACAAGAAGCAGCACCTTCTGCAATATGGGAAAATGTGCCACCTTCACGAAACCCTGGACGCGGACCAGTTACCTTCGCTGGCTTGTCTCTGCAAGGCTTTTGCGTCCCTGGCCAGGGGGAAAGCCCCCGGCTTATCAGGCCTCCGTACTACCCTGTTCCGGGCGGCCCCACACCTTTCCGCTTTGACGTACTACCCTGTGGTATGCAAAACCATAGTTCGAGGATGCCCGCCTTGTCAGTGGACAGGAGGAAAGGCCGTACCAATTCCAAAATGCGGAAAGCCTGCAAGCAGCATCGCTGCCTGGAGATCTGTGCTCTTGTTGGAATCGGATGGGAAGGCCTTGCAACGGGCGCTTCGTTCCCACCTCATCGAGGTCTTTCAGCAGTCGAGGGCACCAGCTCAACACGGTGGTCTTCCTCGGCGCACTCTCACCCTCCCATCGGCCACTGTGCGAGCGCATCTCTTAGCGCTACATTCGGCAAGCCAGTCGGGCGGCGTGGTCTTTGTGGACAGTGCATCCGCGTACTATTCCATCGTGCGCGATTTCATCACTATTGACCCGGCCGCCTGTCCGCCTGACTCGGTGCTATGGGATCGAGCCGCCGCGCTCTACGAGAATGAATCGGACCAGGCTGCGTTTGTTCAACACATGAAGCAGGGCAACCTTTTGGATGCACTTCAAGCCTCCCCCACGCTGCGACGTTATGTTGCAGGACACTTGCGCCATGGGTGGTTCGTGACGGACGAGGGCCTTCCAACGGTCTGCCGTTCAGAGACCGGCACTGCGCCAGGCTCGCCCATAGCAGACACTCTCTTTGGCTTGATATATGCCCGGTTCTTGACCTCAATGGATGCCCAACTCAAGGAGAAAGGCATAATGGCACGGCTGCATGACCTCCCAGATGCCCAGCCCGGACAACCTACCTGGGCGGATGACACGGCCATCCTCTTCACCTCGCGGCGGGCAGAGGACGTGACAGCCGACCTTGCCGAAGTAGCCTCACTCATGTGTGCTGGCCTGACGCGCTTGGGCTTGTCCCCAAACTTTGCAGCTGGCAAGACAGAGACGATGTTAGTCTGGAAGGGCTCGGGGTGTCGGGCTGCACGGAGGTCGGCGCTTTGCCAAGCCCACCCGGCAATACCCTTCCTCATGCCCGATGGCACGCAAAACCACATCAGGATTGTACCAGGCTACGTGCATTTGGGCAACTTCATCCAAGGCGACCTACACGAGTTGCCATGCATCCAGCACCGTGCGCAGCTGATGCGCAGTCTCTTCGAGCCACTTCGCAAAAAGCTTTTGAGCAGCCAGTTCCTGAGCGTGGGTGAGAAGACTCGACTTCTCTCAGAGCGGGTATTCCCGCGCTTCCTGCACGGTGCAGGCCTCTGGCGCCTTGCGACGCGCCATGAGCAAGAGGCATTCCACTCTGCCTTGGCCTCGGTTGTGCGAGCGTCTCTTCGCCCTATTTTGGGCCTGACTTGCCAGGGGCTCGACGCAACCGAAGCATGCGCTGCGCTTGGGGTGCCCACTTCCGCCGAGCTACTGACGGCAGCGCGGGCGCGAGCCTGGTGCGAAGTTGCAGGGGAGGGAGACGTGTACACTTGGCAGTCCCTTGTGCGCGACGGGGTTTGGATGGCAGATGCAACGCGGGCGTGTGCGGACATTCTTGCTGAAACCCGGGCAGGCCCGCTACCAGACCCGGCTTGCCTTGATGCCTGCAAAGCATTTGCAAACACCAATGCCGCCCTCCTCCGTTCCGCCATTCGGAACTTCCAGGACGGCGGATTCGTCATCATACAGCGGTTCGTCGCTATAAACACAATCGTCGCTATACAGCCTGCTAGTGGAACTGAGACTTGTGCAGCTATTGGCTTTCAGTAGTTCGCCAGCGAATCTTTGTTTGACGAAATGTTTCATATATGCGCTGATTTGGCAGTAGGCGGCATTTGTTCGTATGTACACACGCAAGACCACCGGCCCAACATAACGTTACCGCTTCCAAATGAAACCACAAGCAATTTGTACCTCGAAGCCTGAAATTTGTTCTCTGCCACACCTAACAAATTTTGTTCTTAAACGTCTTTCGCCTTCTCAGCGTAGACTGCGGCATGTGTTGCTTTCAGCACGCTCCATGAAGATGCAAAGCTCTGATGCAAAGCTCTGATGTGAGGATGGTTTCTGCGCAATCGCTTTCGAATGCAATGAAAAAGTTGTGTCAAAATTCGAACCGTCCTTGTTGCAGCGATGAACACGCTATAGTTTTGCAGCGTGGATGGCACCACCCTGGCAAGTTCAAATTTGGGTTGAAATGGACGCGGTACATCGAGACTTTGCCTGGAGGGTGTATATATATACACACACTTTTTCAAGAGGAAGCACCATCGTCCAAAGCAAGAGTGAGCCGCTTTATCAAAAGCAAACACGCTACTTCGAAAACCCTCAGTGAAAACAAATTGCATTGTTGCGGACTTTTGAGGGTAGCGCACAAACGTCTGCCAATCAAGACAGATGCTGCAGGCTTCGCAAGACTTCAAGTTTTGTGCTTGCCATCCATGCCTGTGACGCTCGTGCAAATAGCCGCATTGCAAAACGAAATCTCGCCATGTTCATAGTTTTACTCACTTGTCTATCCCGTCATACGTTGGGCTGCATCATGCTCTATGAGTCAGTACGTATATATCTCAGTGCACGTGTTTCATCACACTTTGGACTTCAAACGACAAGAAGTCAACCTGCTGCAGGGCGGCCGGGTCATCGGGCAACGTGAACGTCAAGTTTATAGACACATGCTGAGCCTACACGCACGTCGTTTTCGACGGCAAATTGAACGCCTTAAACTTGCTGCACGCCGAGACCAACAATATCTCGCACGACCAGCCAGCCCATGAGCAGCAGATCGACCCTCCAGAAACTTAACCAAGCTCAAAACAAGATTGCTTTTGTAAGAACATGATGCCAAAAACCTCAAACTTCCACATCTTAAACCCTATTTGAAGAATGAAAACCAAAACCACAGTGTTCAACCCAAAGCCCTTTGAGCTTCCCGAAAAGAAAAACCTGATTGCACCACGCTCCCCAGATGGTATGGTTTTGCTTACGAAGCCTGTCGCCATGGCTCATCTTATCTTTCTAAACGTACAGAGTGGCAACATAATTACATAATAACACTTCGGCCGAAAAGGCAAGAGCCCGTGGAGGCTGAGCAAAGCTACGTATAAGCACGAACATGGTTTGTTTTTTTCATGTTTGTTGTTGCGCTCACATTGCCTCGCGTGGTCCACTTGCTTGCTTTTTGTTTTTGCACGCTCTTTGTCGGCCATTGCTCCCCCTGCAGCATATATAGTATTTGGGCTGAAGCCCTTTCGGAGACCCC